ACCACTGGCAAAGCTAAAGCACAGACCACTGGCAAAGCTAAAGCACAGACCACTGGCAAAGTTAAACAACAGACCACCGGCAAAGTTAAACAACAGACCACCGGCAAAGCCAATCATATGACCACTGGCAAAGCTAAAGCACAGACCACTGGCAAAGCTAAAGCACAGACCACTGGCAAAGCTAAAGCACAGACCACTGGCAAAGTTAAACAACAGACCACTGGCAAAGCTAATCATATGACCACCGCCAAAGCTAAAGCACAGACCACTGGCAAAGCTAAAGCACAAACCACTGGCAAAGTTAAACAACAGACCACTGGCAAAGTTAAACCAGCGACCACCGGCAAAGCTAATCATATGACCACCGGCAAAGCTAAACAACAGACCACTGGCAAAGTTAATCATATGACCACCGCCAAAGCTAAACCAGCGACCACCGGCAAAGTTAACCATGCGACCACAGGACATGGCAAACCAGTGACCACCGGCAAAGTTAACCATGCGACCACAGGACATGGCAAACCAATTCCCACCAATAACCCGAAACCTACATGTACCACTAGTGTTAAAGCAGGCATTCCTCATGCTGCTAAAACAGTAGTAAATGATGGGAATAAAAAGATTGAACCCACTCATGCTCCTAGTAAAGCAGACGACAAATTAAACAAAGGAAGTAAAGAGGGTAAAGAGACTGTAGGCAAAGAAAGTAAAGAGACCGTTCCTGAAAGTGGTGAAAAACCCGACACTAATAAAGGTAGTAAAGCAGACGACAAATTCAACAAAGGAAGTAAAGAGGGTAAAGAGACCGTAGACAAGAGTAAAGAGACCGTTCCTAAAAGTGGTGAAAGACCCAACACTAGTAAAGATGCCAACGCCAAAGTAAACGCTGATGCTCATAGCAAACGCATGTCGATTCCCAGGGCATGGCGGCCAAGGCAAAGACAACGAAGGTGGCAAAATCAATAACCAAGGTGTTAAAACAACAAAGTAGTAAAAGGAGAAAATAACAAAAAGAGAACTGTAATGGACATTAATAAATTAGCTTCGCAAAAAATATTTTATTTAGTTTAAATCATTAGAAGTTTAATAGCACCTTTAATCATTAATGAGTTAATTAGTTAATAGTTCTAGAATATAGTATAAATAATAGCTAAATGATTTATTTTTAGACAGTTTTGTTGTATTTTTTTTTAAATGTAATTAATTTCTACTTCAAAAAAATATTATTAAAAGAATAAAATTTCTTTTAAATTCAAAATATTAATACTATATGTATTATTAAATCTCAATGCAGTTAATATTTTAAAAAAATCTCTTGTAAAAACGTAGTTGACATCGAAAATCAAGCCTCAGAATTAGTAGCCACCTAACTTAAGGTGTAACCTTTTAGATTGTAGCGAAGCTGTGTAACATAGCAAGAAATATTTAAACTATACATAATAAAGCAAACGATTTATATTTATACATTAGAATATATTAGTAATTATAACAAATTGTAAAAATTGAAAACATAAAATAAAATCACTAACAAGTTTAATATATAAAATCTTCTATATTTAAAGCTAAATCTATTTGATGTGTATGGGTAAGCAAAAGACTCATCTCTGAGTAATTAGATGCGAAATTTCACTTATTTTTATATATATTATGTATTATTAAATCTAATCGATATATAAAGAGTAAACAAAGAGACTTATCTGAGTAATCAGATGCAAAATCTCACCGTTTAATGTAAATCGGATATCATTATAAAGTTATTAGGTAAAAAGAATCTTGAATAAATATTTCCATAATATAAATTAATATTATCTTACTCGTAAATTATAAAAACCAAAACTATATCTTGAAAAGATTTTCTTGCTCGTTAGATTGTAATTGATAAACCTTGCCAATCACTAAAGGCAGATTACCTCTGTCGCTTCAATTCATTTCTGTTATTTCTGCCACTTATAATACCTAAGATAATTTTAATATAAATAATGGTCGAAATTCAAAAAGTTCCTATAGTGTATTGAACACCGGTATATATATTGTTGTTAAAAATTTAAAGTTTTCGATCAAAAGTCATCGAAATTACTCATTGTTAATATCAATTTAATATGTTAAGAATTGAACAGTCACTTTTCAATTAAAAATTTATATCCGTCAATTAATTACAATTGACGTGCAACATTATGACAATAAAGAACTTCTTGAATCGTTAAAATCAATTTAATACACGTCATTATTTTACATGGGTGTCTAAATTATTTTTTAAATAACGTAATTTCGACAAACAAGTTGTTTATATGAATTCCACAAAGTAACTATACTACCTAATGTATTTTGACAAAGTCAAATAATTTTTTCGACAACTATTAATTTCGCCACTAAGAAAAATTGGGTTCCGTTTATTCCATCGACAATCAGTTCACCGACAGTACGATTCACCGACAATCAATTCACCGACAAGTACATTTCGCCGACAATATGATTCACCGACAGTCATTTTACCGACAAAGTAATTCTGGTCATTGCCGTTAGGGTCAGGTTAGAATTAGAGTTAAGGTTAGTAATCTATAAAAAAAAACTTGTCGGTGAAACGTACTGTCGGTGAATCGTATTGTCGATGAAATGAACTTGTCGGTGAATTGATTGTCGGTGAATCCAACTGTCGGTAAACTGAATTTCGGTGAAATGAACCGGAACCGAAAAATTAATTTCGACAGACTAAATGCCGAAATAATTTTTTATTAAGAGAAGTAATTTAGACACCCTTGGTTTGAGCATTTCTTTTAGGGTTTGTATTACTTGAGAAAATAAGTAATATGTAATAAGATTAGTAAAGTTCTTTCAGGAAATTATAACCATATTTGAAAAAGTAACATTCAATTATTTTAAAATTGCACTTTATAAAAACTCGTATTAAACAAAAATTCCTGGCATTTTAATTATTCTTACAATTCTTAGTATTCAAGAACCTATGTACATATAGTAAATCGGAGGAATTCGAGAAATAATAGAATATGATACAGTAATAATTAGAAGTTTCATTATTTCGCTAAATGTAATAAATTATTATATACAGTAAATTTCTGTCAAATACAGACAATTTTGAGTTATTTATGTAAATATCAAGAAGATAATTTAAGATCATTTCCAAGTTTATACCAAACGCACCTGGCTTTAACGGACCCCAAATCTAGAGATTTAAGGAAGATCATTAAGCAATTTAAGGTGTCTGCTACGCATGTTTAAATGTTTTTTAATGCAAACGCAGATTTGTGATCTATGTAGTGGATTTTAATTCGTAGCGCACTCTGGACTAATTTGTCTATCAGACGAATATAAACCTGATTCGATCAAATAGAATGCACATTTCGAGATTTTATCGCTTTTAATCAGGTAATATTACTAGAAAACGAAAAAAAAACTTCATATAAATAAGCATACAAATCAATCAATACACGTAAAAGAATTTATCATATATGTTTAGAGAATAATAGATACGCGTAAAATGGGTAAAAATGTTATTTATTATTAAAAAACCAAACTTATTGAAGAATCTACAAGATATAAACTAAAACTTTAAATTACGGTTGATAAATCCAAAACACACCACAAGAATTGACCAAATTTCAGCATTAAACCATATTTTTTACTACTAAAAACTTTTACCTATTCAAATTAGAAACAGTTAGCAATAAAAATTTGTTTAAATCTAAGTAATAAAATAATTTTACACAAAATCATTTTTAGCTATCTTCACTTCGCAGTATAATTTCGTACAATCCAATAGACTGTCGTATATTTTTTATTCTAAGTAAGGTAATCACAAAATCTGTAAAAAACCATTAATAACCGATTTTGCATCTGGTTAATAGCCTTATTATCATGGAGTTATCAGAAGATTTTCCTAAATTCGTAATCAATCGCATGCAATAATCACATCAAATTCACTAAATTTAATTACAACGTAAAATTTTATAATGCGATCTCGTCTTTTAAAATTGATTATGCTTTTAGCTTTTTAATAATGAAAAAGTTTCTTTCTACATGATCAAAATATCAAAGACACTCTCGATGCTATGTTGAGTGCGCTAAATGATGCTTGTCCATTGAATATCTCAAAGGACTCTATACTTAATTCTCTTAAAGATATTCTAACTAATGACAAGTCCTTCCACAACAAATCTGTAGCATATACTACATTATTCAGTTGGCTAAAAAAACGAAAGTCATCCAAAGAAATTCCATTTGTGATCTTCAAGAAAAAAGCACATCTGCCATTGCTGGGACATATGCAACAGTCAACAACACTTATAATAGTAATGTGGCTGAATTATATGAGGTCTCCCATGAATACAATAATAATGTAAAAGTTTGTAAATCTTCTCCACTGGTGAAGCAAATCTTTTCTTTCATTGATGATGATCAAGGAGCTGTTGTTGAGCCTTATATAAATTTTGTTGAAAAGTCTTTTATAAATTTCTCATTAATAATGAGCATATCATGACTTTGCTAATGTAATTGAAAATACTAATATTTTTTTGAAATACGTTTTTCATGGCTGATATAAGGCAAATCCTATTGAACTACTAAATAACTTGAAGAAGAATGTTAGAAATAAGATGGCCCATCAGATAATCATAGATGAAAAAGGTAGATTAAGCAGTTTTGATCTTTAAAACATTGCACATCTAGCATGCAAAGTTGCTATCTGTCTTGGTAGGTATCTAAGAATGACCTATAATAAATCTCATAATATCATAATACAACTTAGTTTTTTTTGTTTGAACATTAGATAGAGATTATCACGATATACAGTATATGCCAATAGAATAAAATTTGAAAATGAAATAATTCAGTGGTAGACAAATAAGGAATATAAAGACCAACTCTGATCATCTAAAAGAAAATTTGATGAAATGGATTCTTATAGAAATACTAAGTTTGTTCTAGATGTTCTTGAAAACTATATAGAAATGAAGAAAGAACATAAAATAAAAATAATAAAGCTTGTACTAAAAAGTGATGAGTATATGGTGTATATTTGGAAGACAGAATGAAAAGGAGAAAGTTTGTAACTTCACTCAATTTGTGAATTTGTTATATGATGTAAGTATTAAAAATTAGTTATTGGTTTCTTCGTTGTATAAGAAATTTGTATATTAAGCTAACTGTTTTATCCACTTCTATTACAGAACTTGACAGTTAATACTAACTTAGAGATAAATGATGTTTTATAAGGTATAACTCTGTATGGGTAGTTGACAATATAGTATATGAAAAATAAGTTCTTATATAGTCTTAACCAAGTCAATAAGGGTGTGTAACTTACTCTAAACAATGTTTTGTGAGTAGGTTTAAACAGCTTATCTGGAAGATATGAATTCAAAGTATGGTGTTTTGGTGCGCTATGTGTTTGGAATTTCAAATCTCTTGAGTTTGCTAGACTCGATAATTTATCAGAGGATAAACGAAGCTACTTATTTTATACATTCTCTGTTAACTACTCTAAAGTTATATATATATTATATTGATTTTATAACTATTTTAAATTTTTTTTTTAGAGATATCACAAGCATTGTCATGGCTTCAAGAAAACTTTGCTAATCAACACTAACTTAGGGATAAATGATGCTTAGAGATAAATAATGTTTTATAAGATATGACTTTGTGTGGATAGTTGATAGTATATTGTGTAGAAAATAAGTTTTTATATAGTCTTGTCCAAGTCAATGAGAGTATATAACTTATTCTGAACAATGTTCTGTTGGTAGGTTTAAGCACTATATAATTTATTGTAAATTATATAGCAGTTATCTGATTTGTTATATTTAAATTTTTATAATATGATTTTGTATATTATACAAACTAATAAAGATATTCTTTTAAAGATTTCATCTAAAATCTTGGTTATAATATATGATATTTTTTTAAAAAATTATTCTTGAGGTTTTTACAAATCAAACTATATAAAAAAC